GTATCGATACCACCCCCTTCTCTCTGATTTATTTATTTATTTATTTACGTTGTTTATGATCATTAACGTGACGTTAGCCTTGAATTGCTAGCTGCGGGGTTAGATCTGGGTTAGGTTTAGGGTTAGGTTTAGGTTAACAAATTTAACCGAAAAATATTTATTTCTCACAATTATGAAGGGTGGAGGGTTAGGGTTAGGGTTAGGGTTAGGGTTAAGACATCGTTTATCTTCTGATTTTGTATAGACAGTAAAGTTTTGTTTCCAGCTCAGAAAGCTGCTAGTCACATGACCTGATCAAAATGGCCGACTTGGATGTGGGAGGAATATCAGTAATAAATAAGTTTGAAACCAAAGAGACTAACCTGTCAAAACTCAGTTAAATTTTGGGGTCTTTGTTTTTATCCTTGTGGTATTGAAAATGGTATCGAGTATTGAATATTTTCCTGAGTATCGGTAGTGGCCGTGAACCCTGTCCCCCCCCCCCCCCCCCACAGATCCACCGGGCCACGGCCACCATCATCGAGCCCACGGGGGAGTCGGACAACCCCCTGCGGTTCACCTCCGGCCTGGTGGTGGCGCTAGACATCGACGCCACCCTGGAGCACGTCCAGGACCCGCAGAGCAGCGTCAAAGTGCAGGTGGGCGGAGTCAGAAAGCCCCGATAGAGACAGTGAGCTTTATTTTGAAAATCCCAGATTGGCAAATGACTTCCACCGTTTACATTAAAAGTCTAAAATTCAGGACAAGCTTTGGTAGATGCTGGCTTTAGTTATTTAGAGCAGTGGTCCCCAGACTTCTTATCTCTGTGGACCGGTCAATGCTCGACAATTTTATGATGGGTGGGGGGGATGTGGGGGGGTGTTTATATTACGAATATAATAATTCGTAATAATAATATTCGCATCCAACTTTATTTTTCTTTTCAAAATATTTCAGGGGCTTGTCTTTTAATCCCGGATCCAAAGCTGCTTTGAAGCTTTGTCGCCTCATTAGAGAGTCACTTGCTGCATATATTTGATATATATATATTATATATAATATATATATTATGTAGACTGGCCTGGGTCTGTGGGAGCCACCGGTCACAATACATCCATGTTTCCAGCAGAACTGCTGTTAAAAGCTTTAATTTCTGTCTCTTCTTTGGGCCTTTTCACCTTCGAAAACAAACTTTTCTTAACAAATTTTTAGAACTTGTGGGTAAAATTTTTAGCACTCAAGTGACCGAGATGTAACCGAGAGAATTCGTTCATTTTTCTAAATGAAAGATTTTACAAAAATAAAAGATTATTCACACTATGAGAATAAATACAACGGAAACAATGAATTATTACTTGGGCGGCCCGAAGCCGGCTGATCCACGGCCCGGTACCGGTCCGCGGGCCGGGGGTTGGGAACCACTGATTTAGAGGCTTTAGAGGAGTCGTGACCTAGGGGGCGTCACTGGGTCAGTGAGGGCGTTTGCATTTGTATGAGTTGAGCTGATTTAATTACTGTTTACTGCTGGTCGTCTAATCCAGGATGCCTGTTTGTCAGACTGGTTTTTGGTCTCTCTAACTCGCCACAGCTTTTTTTAACTTTATTTTTCTTTGTTGACAATTACAAAGTGTGAAAAAGAAAAAAAGGAGAGTAAAAAACAGAAACAAACACACACAAAACGTAAACAAAAACTATATACTGTCCAGATTGGGATAAACAATGTTCCAAATGTTCAATTAGTCACTGCAATTTAAGTAATCCACTTTGTCCATTTTTCCTCACAGGAGTCATCTGTAGTCTTTTTCTGTTGTCCTCCATGACATTTATGTCCTTAAAAATCTTCAGCCAGTCCTCTTTGTCAGGGGGGTCTTCTTTGTTCTATTTTTTGGTGATTGTTTTTTTTACTGCCAGCCATCAGGATTTTAACCCCATAATGCCAAATGTGTCATATTTGATCCGGTTTCTTTTGGATCTGAGACTTTTTG